AACTGAATGTATGTCGGTTTCGCAATGGTAATGTCCTTGTTCAACTGTAAAAATTGAATATAACAAATAAAAACGAGTACTGTACATAAACTTGTCAATTCCTTTTGAGTAAAGATGTAAGATACTGCACTACTATGGAGAAAATTTAAAAAGTCTTGCATATCACAGCAGCTTGATAAAATTTCCAGAATTAAATCGTAATCACATGTATTTGAGAGTGCAATGGCTTGGCTTTTAAAATTTATTGTTTTTAATTTATTCTCATTAATGACAGTGCTTCTTCGTTTAATTTTTATCCTCTTCTTTCCTGTTAAGTTTTTTAACAACAAATCTAAAGTAGGGTATGGTTGTACATATACTTCTCTTTGATTTTCATTTATTTTTGTATTATCGTGTGAGACCGATGGAATCATGTTATGACAGCTATAAACACCATTATTTTCGTTTTCTTCTGAACGCATAAAATCGTTGACATCATGTACCATAACTACTTTATTTTTTTGTACCAGATTTATGGGTTCGTAACTTTTCCTGTTCATTGTACTATTTTTTACACTGTTTTTAGTTAATATACCAATGGATTTAATGCTTTGCCTTGTATACCTCTTTGAATTTTCTTATTTTCACTCTCAGAATAGAAAGGTGAATCACAAGGTGGATTACGTAAAGTGTGACAGCTACTAGAAGAATGATTGAGTATATTCAGTGCATTGCTTATACGTGGCTCTTTTTGTAAAAGTTCATGGCGTTGGGAAAAGTTTAATTCTTGATCATAGATAAGGTCATGCATACCTTCAGTTGTATTATTCTGTTTACTTAAATCAATGGAACTATCCTGTTGAATTTTCGGAAACTCATTTTTCCACCTTTGGATTTCAGATAAATGTTTGTGTTTGTCAACAGTTTGGATATTTTTGGGCTTGACATTTTTATTCGGTATAATGTTCATAAATTTTACTCTAGCAAGTTTCATTTTAGAATCAATTAATCTTAAATGTACGATTAAAAATTTATCTAATCTTTCAGTTCTTATATCCTCAAGTAAGAAATCTTTAGTTTGACCAAAATATGTTTCAGCACAAGCTGAAGTAACAACGTCATTTGGATTATCAAAATAATCAATTATGACTTTGGTCCAACATGGAAATTCATGATATATATCGATAAGACGGTTCCCAAAATCTGGTAAAAAATAGCCATTTTTTTGAGTGAAAATATATCTGCTGCTGTTACCGATAAAGTCTTCGACTCTATTTTTGATGACATTTAAGCAAGTATTAATTAAAGTTTCTTCTGTAGAATTAATTTTTATGTAATCTTCTAAATCGTTACCAATTTTTAAGTGATCTTGACTAGCTTTTGACAAAACATATTCATCTAAAGTGAAAGTTCTTAAACAAATCACAATAAACTCATAGGCTTATTTGCAAGTAGAGTAATAAAATCGACTAAATGGCAAAGCTGACAAGCTTTCCAAAAGTTTATCGAACTGCTTTAAATCACTAACTGTTGTCATAAAACTAAGGGTTTTTGTAAAAAGTAACTGTACTTTGTAGTCTGTTTCGTCAAAAAAAAAGAGCCACCCGACCACTGCATTTATAAAATAAGCTACGTCAGTCCTAAGTGATGTGTTCAATTTTGTACGTTTGCATCACTGCTAAGCAACATTGATCATTGTACATTTGAAATATCGTAATATTTAAACTCAAACCCACAGCATTTTGAATGGCCTTACCCATGTCTGTTGAAACATACTGGGAAACATGGGCTCCATTTTTTATTTGCTCATTTAACCAATAAGAAATAAAATTTGTATCAGTTTTTTTTTTCAAAAGGCATTTGGGCTACAGGAACAATCATTGATTATATGTAAATACTCAGTATTGTAGTTAAATATCAGCGTTATCTCTGTCTCGCATCTTTTTCAAAACAACAGATGATGTCGCATCTAGTGACATTGGATCATAGTGTGGAGAAATTCGTTCAGGTGACCAGTACAATACATGACCTTTATCACAGCCTACATCCTTGATAAATTTTTTAAATTCTTGTTTGGACTTTAAATCTGTCAAAGACTGCATTAAAGTAGAACCTTTGAGGATTCTCAATTTTTCAATTCGAGCTTCTTGCTTAGATTTCCATAAAGAAGGCAAATTACTTAACATAGGAGACTTATAGTCAGCATGATTAATTTCTCGATAAGCTGTTTTCAGTCTCCACTGTTTTGCTTTCATGGTCAGTAATTCACCTTTCACTGCGAGTCACTTTTGTGTCAATAGTATTGCCGATAAAATTAATACCTCCATTATTATCACTGCGATTCCCTACAATTTTAATTCCTAAAAAAGCATTGCATTCTAAACATTCACCTTCAATGTAGAAATAACAATCGGTCTTATTTATTTAGTGTCTTTTGAAGGTAAAAGCACAAGGCAGTTTTTGAGTTGCATATATTTCGTTGGTAAAAATGTCAGTTCATCCATTTTGCAACTTCTTTCCTAGTCTTCCATCTTTATGAGTCACAATTGAAGGTTTTATTGTGTCCCAAATTTCTTGGCTTGTAAGAATGGAGAACTGTAGACAATTTTTTTTTTATTTTTTTGATTGATTTTGAACACTACTTAAATATTCTTTGTCTCCCACTTCTTTCACTTAATCATCATCACAATAGTTTTCTTCTATATTGGAACTACACTCTATGTTGCCGTCACACTAGTTTTCTTCAGATTTCTCAGCGTGATCTTGACGGATAACTCAATCCTTTGCTTGCTTATAATTATGTTTTAAATTATGACAGCAACATCTTTTGTCCAGGGTCAATTTCTTTTGCACAATGAACATTTTTTTATTATAACTAGTTGGAAATACATATTAAAAATTGTACATACATATACATGATTATTTAATTATATTTGTTATTATCTAGGCAAACTTAACCTTATAGTACCACCTTTGTTGCAACTGCATGTGAAGCTTCATGCCAAATAACTTAGTCTACAATCACTTGGGATATGTACTTAAGTGTTTTAAATGTACAGCAAAGGTAAAGCCTGCAGCTACACAGCTAAAACATTTTAATCAGTATAAAATTTATAATTTTGTTTCATTCAGTTAAATAATATTAAAGTTGAAATGCAATAAATACTGACACCAATGGCTGTTGCTGTTAAAAACTGTTATTTATTCCCCTGATGACGTTTCTCTCCTCTTTGGGAAGGAGCCTTTTCAAGTCCTAAGTATAAGTAATAAATATACAATGCGAGTAATGACGGAGGCAATTCAAGTAGCTTGGGAGCAATTTTTCTAAATAAAATTTATTTTTAAACAGTGTGTATTGGCAGAGATATTAGACATCGAAGTTTCAGTGTACTAGTAATTTGTTTTTAGCACTTTAAATATTTTACAAAAGGGAGACAATTTTGCAACTTCTGTAATCAAACGAAGTAATAAAAAATGCATGCACTTATTTTGCAGTCATAACTACGATAAATGTTATACTCCCTTGTACAATTTATTTATTCGTACTCTCGTTTGAATGATAACAGCACAGGAAGTTCGAGTTCAATTTGTGGCCATCACACAGCACTAGTAGTGCAGACTTAACATGCTGAGTACTAGGTCCAAAAACAACGTCGTATTTTTACAGTACTATAGAAGACCTTCTCTAAAAGGGTTAGTTATATAACTGATTTGATATGCCTGGAAATTTTAAGTGTCAAGAGTACTAGCCTCATTTTTAAAATGTAGAAATTTCGCTACAGCTGGTAATCAAACGCGGTATATAAGGTTTCCGAGGAACCAGAATTCTGGAGGACAAAGAATTATGTTAAAGAAAATATATGGGTAGTTTCTAAAATATGTAGACTAAAGTCATAGGAAAAAGAAACAATCCATCGATTTTTGATGGTATGAGACAAGAAAATAATATATTATTCGTATTTTATTACACACATACTCACTCACTCACTCTCTTTCACTCTCTCTCTCTCTGTCTTTTACAGGCACATGCATTTTAATAACTTATCGTGAGTAAATTTTCTGATTAAATTTGGCCAGTAAATAAGTAAGGTTTGGACTGAAAATTAAAAGCTTAAACATTAATTATAAAGATTGTATTGTACGAGATATTTATTATATGATTGATAATGTTTAGTTCGAAATATAACAGAGTTTTAAATAGAAAGTCGAAAAAAATTTTGAAAGTAATTTTTTTTTTTTTATTTATCACTTACAAAGGAGGGCAGGCAAGTGTGTGTAACTGATTTTCCTGAAACTGGGCATATAAGTAGAGTATAAAAAAATATTAGACACCTATTTTTTTTAACTGCCCATATGCAGGTTAAAGGAGTAAAATTCACCCTCAAAGATCACCCCCGAAAAACGGCTTTTTCCACATAACTCGCCCCCATCTCTGTTAAAACAAGATGGAAGTTGTGTCTTTTGAAAAAGGTGATTAAATAATGATAATTTGGACAACAAGGGTTGCATCTCCTATGTTTTAAGGGTTTAAAATTCATATTTTTAGTAACAGTTTGTAATGAAAATTTGTAAAGAAATTCAAAAATTATAAAAAAAACGTTGTTAACACGTAAAACAAAAAGATGAAGTAAATGTGTGTTGGCATTCTTGTGAATACCACCCCTATTGTAGGTTTACTGCCCCTATTAAAAAATTGAGTTTCTTTACAAATTTTCATTACAAACTGTTACTAAAAATATGGATTTCAAACCCTTAAAAAAAGGAGATGTAAACCTTGATGTCCAAATCATCATTATTTTTGATCACCTTTTTCAAACGATACAACTTTCATCTCGTTTTAACAAAAACTATGGAGATGGGGGAGAGTTATGTGAAAAATGTTTTCGGGTATCATCTTGGAGAGTGGGTTTCACCCCTTTAAACTGCATATGAGCAGCTAAAAAAAATACTTGTCCAATATTTTGTTATACTCTACTCATATGCCCAGTTTCAGAGAAATCGGTTACACACACTTGCCTGCCCTCCCTTGTTAGTATCCATCAACATAAGGTAGTTTCTTCAAGGTATATTTCTCTTGTGACCAAAGATGAACGGTAGACCTGTGCCAACTTTACTTTGATATACTATGTATGAGCTTCCAAAAAACTTCAATAAGCTAGATTCTTCAATGGTTATTCTTTCCTTAAAAAATCTCCATGATATAATGGTGTACGTTGTAAGACATAACGGATTTTGTAAAATCAACTGAAATGCAGATATAATATTCGTTATTAATTATTTCAAATATTTGTTGTTTATAAATGAATATAAATAAATTTTAAGTATCAACAAACTGTATTAACTTTACTTATTGTTATCTATACGATAGAATGTGTCGAGTTTTACAAATAAAGGATGGATAGCTTTTTAAGCAATACTAGTTTATGTTCCTCACCCAACAGTGTTTAAGAACAGTAAAATTGTAGAAATATGTTTTTAGTATGTTTGCAATCAGTGAATGGTTTTTTTAGTAACGATCCATAACTACGTCCGTATAACGGCGGTTTATGTTAAATTCCATTAAATTTTATCCATATAATACTTGTGATAAAAAAGGTGCTTTAAAAATTATATTAATAATAAGGATCGGCGTTGGCTCAGTAGTAAGCGTGCTTGTTACTGATACAATGCTGTTCTAGGGGTCGTGAGTTCGATTCCCGGCGAATGCAGATTTTTTCAAAAACTGTTTTTATCGGGAAAAGTTATGTAACTCCGACTGTTTCGAAACGGGTTTTTCCGTGGAATTTTCCTTCAGAATAATTCCAGGATTTTTTCCTTGCCCCACAGGTCTTTAGGCCTGGGTGAATGCAGAATAGTGTTAGGACGTAGGTATTAGCGGATCCGATGCGCCAGGCAGGGATCGCCGGCCTTACCGGCGAAGAGTGGTTCCTGAAACATGGGACTTCTCCAGGGATGCTAATTAGCCTGGATCCGATGCTTCGGCAGAGAGCACCGGCTTAACTGGCGAGGAGTAGACGAGGAGTAGAAATACGAAGTCTTCTTCAGGGAAAGGCTACACAACGGCGAGTGGACCCGATGCACCATTGGTGTAGAGAGTGTCAGCTGTACTGGCTAGGTGTTTCAAGGAAGAGACTTCCACGGTGCCTATGGTTTAATAGGTATAATATCAGCTTAAGAATTGGTAAATGGGTGCGGCAATACACACTTACATAGGTGGTAAGTGGGTGGCCCCGGCGACTTGGCTTAAGAGCTGTCACAGTAACCCGAAAAAAAAAAAAAAAAAATTTACATTAATAATATTATTCTTTAACTTGTCAAAAAATCGTGTTAATGTTAGCTTATTTACGTTAACTTTTAATTTCATTCATAAATTGTTCTACTTATTAAAAAATAATATACAATCTATTACCTGACTCTAACGTTACATTGAAATATAATAAATGTCCGGTGTCTCTCTGACGCACATTATTAAAATTGCAAAAACTAATCTTGGAATATTTTCCTATATTAATTTACATTGTTTGTCATTGATTAATAGCCAAAAGCCCTTCTAAAGTCAGAGTATTTATTAATTTGAATGAATTCTTGCGCTATCAAAAAGTGGTTTGAACCTAAAAATCATATTTATAGTAATGTTTACAAATTTAAGGAATCAACCTTCATAGATTTTGAGAAATTAGTTATTTATTTGATATGTACATGGATAAGTCTTATTTTTAAAATTGTAATCAGTAAAAGAATTCTCTTTTGTTTGAGTCCTTGTTTGAGGTAATTCATGCGTGAAATGTGAATTGAATAGATAATATTTGTTGAAGTTGTCAATAATCATAAAAATGTTATTAAGTATCCTTAATTAAATGAAAAACAACACCCATATCACATTGTAGATTACAATATCCAATATAAAAGTTTCTAAAAACTATTCTATGTCATTGCGATTAACCTCAAAAATTAGCAGTCCACTCTTGCTTATGCTTTTAACATAGTAAATGGCAATGCATAATGGTGTTTAAATCAATATCTTTCAATTTGGTTCTATAAGGTACAATTTTTAACATACTAATATAAAGAAGACGACTTTTAGTTTATTACTCTAGTTTTTGGTCATCCTAGCTCAGTTCTACGAAAAGTAATCGCATGACTTATTGTATTAAAACTGTGTACGTCCATAAGAGCCCGTGTTATACGAGTGCTCAACTACAATTTTTAAATGACTCGATCTTATGATTTTATCCTATAAGCTTATCTGAAATTTTGCAGAGAGATATATAAAAGATTTATAGCAACTTTTCAAGTTTTACCTCGATATCCCAGTTTTTAATTTTTACATGAAGCACCTTAATACACCATTCATTTATTAAAAATGGTGAAGCTAAGAAATGTGTTTAAAATTTCATTACAGTGTTTTAAATATAATTGTTAGCTTACAAAGTTTACTAAAGAGATTCTAGAATCTCTTTGTTTTTATGATAGAATTCTTCACATACAAGATTGTCACCAATTGAGATAAATTGGGAATTTTTTCTTTATTCCTAGAATAGTTGAATCATATATAAACAACGATTTTTATTAACGTTATACTTTACAAATTTAAATACTTCTTATAATTAAAAATTTCGACTAATGAAAAAAAAAGCTTAAGCTTTACTTAATAATTTGAATACAGAGTAAAAATAAACTCACTTTCGTACTACAAAGATGGTTAGAAGGGCATAAGATAAAAGACAAATTTAAATTCACAGCCACTTAAATTCATTACAATAAATAGAATCTCATACAGTAGGTCAGACGTCAGTTCGCGCGCCACATGACATACTAATATCACTTCACATATATTACTCGGCGAAACTTTAAACCACATTGCGGACTGAACAAACTGAAAGTATACTAAATTAAAATTAAATAAAATCTTTGGGCCAGCGACTGGTTCCTGACAAACAAAAATTAAATTTATTTGTTTGTAGATTGAATCTAAGAGTTCCACCTTTTAATTGGAAGTTAGGACGTAACAAACGTATAAGGACTATTTTTAAATAATTGAAGGACGATGTCTATCGTATTGATGTAGAAATATGACATTAATTTTCATTTATTTTAGCGTGAACTTAAAAAAACGAGAAAAGATATTTTTTCTCTAATCATTAAATGTTTGCAAAATGAGAAAAGATGTGCACGAACTATTTCATGTTGTGAATAAAATAATTGAGTATGTAAATTTGTAGAACTAAGACTTAGCGTGGCAATAATATTTCTTTAAAAAAATTTATTAAAAAATTATGCTAAATTTAGTTTGTTGCAAAAAACAGTATGTTCATCTTTCTATTATATTAGTATCTTTTAAAATCATTGAATGTAGTAATACGTCAAGAACCACACCTTAATTTCTTAAACATCAAAACCATAAAAGTAATAAATGTTGTTAATGCTATGACGGATTTTAGTATGTTTCGAATGTTGCGGGACTGCTGTAGAGGGTCCTAACTAATGTTTATTTGGCTTAAACAAAAAAGGATTATGAACTATTCCTTATTTGTGGGGAACGGTAGAGGGACCGAGTTGGGTACTAAGGCAGATGTAGATAAAATTGTGGTGAACCTCACCTAAAAGACTGTACAATATCTTCCTATATTACGTAGTTCTATTTCAAATGATGCTCACCTAACCTCTATGTATCCCAGAATCACTTCGAAGATTACAAATTAATAATTGAGTTTTTCTGTAGTTTTTTTGTTAGAGAGAATAGTTATGAGCCATCTCGCACCGTTCCGTACCACCTATAGCCAGACAGAAACTTTTTGGCGTAAATTTTAATATTATCTACGTTATCTGTCTATGTTAAATATTGTTGTATTATTAGGAATTGTATTTAGTGGATAAGAATTGGAAAAGTAAACGCACAATTTTACATACATGGATGATTATGCCGTAAGTGGATCACAATGTCTTAAAGAATCGTTTAAAAAAAACCTGGTTAAGAAAATTATTTTTTATAGTAGTTTTATCTCAAATACTATATTCAACAAACATCTAAAGCGATTCTACTAAAGAATTTTTGGGTCAAAAGATACATGATATTTTGTATAGCTCAATTTTCGAACGAAATATTTCTGCTTCTGATACGTGTAGCTGAGCTGCTAGAATGGTAAAAGTATTTTAACTCAGATTAAGTAAGAACTAGGGTTAAGCCTTATCGATTAAAGAAAAATTTTGTTCCATTTAGTGCCTGCGTTCAAAAGTTATATCTGTTGCGATGAAAATCATTTTTGTAGATTTTTTAGACTTTTGCCGGAAATTCGTAACTTTTCTATTAACCCCCATAACCATTAATTGGTGGCATTAAATGAAACAAATTTTTTTATTTTTAACTAATGGATCTTTGTTTCAGCAGTCATTTAAGATGCATGAAAGCTAGAAAAAGTGACACTTTTTGAAGGGTACGGAATTGACCGGTACGGAAGTAACATTTCGAGCTTTAGAGTACCTTTGCAACTCGTAGACTTTATATCAATGGTTTTCTGCTTACAAAACATGTATTGTCAATGAATATAGTACAAGAAAAAAATTTTTACTAAAATGCATGAGTAACAGAGAGCTAAGTCTAGGGGAGGGGGTGGAAGCGATCAAAATTTTTGTACACACGAAAATTTAAAATTAAAATATGTATCAATTGGCGAGATTGAAATTTTTGACAGCTTTGAGTTATACGTTTGTCTTGTTATGATGTAGGATTAGACAAGTGACCACTATATGGTGTTACGAATCGCATCAGTGTGGTTTTCAAAGTGATTTCCGCTGTCATCGACATTTCAATTTAAAATGGGATATCCGGTATTTGATGAAAACTCTTGCTTATAAATTAAAAATTAATGTTGATATGACATAAATGTAACATACAATATCTATACTTGACAATTTATGTGCAAGGATATAGGAGAAAAGATTTTTTTTCTAGTAGGAGCTTTTAGGTGCGAAGTTAAGATTAAAAAATATATATCGTGCAAGCTACGCATTTTATAAACGTTTTTATTGTTATAGTGCCTATTAATTTATGTATTTGTATTATATTAATGACTTATAAAGCTAATAACATTTAGTTGATAATCCTTTACGTCTAAGGAAGGTACAGTGTACTAAAACAAATGTTACGTGTTTACGTTGTTGGATACTTAAAAAAATGAAGATTTTTTAATAATAAACGTTATATTTTATTATTTCTGAGCTCCCTTAAAGCCTTATTGACCCTC